TCACCGCTTCTGACCTCATCCGTGATATTAAGTCCGTTATTTATGGTAACAGTAGCTTTCCGAAGTAATTGGCCGTTTAATCGCCAAAGGGGCAGCACCATTGGCTGAGGAACTCCAGAAACGTTACAAGTTAGGGTTGTATATTTCTTTTCCGGGATGGTCATTTGCTTCATTGTAGATTTTGCTATTAGACATACAAATAGCAAAAAAAGGATAAACATGAAGAAATGATAATGACTAAAGCGAAAGCTAGATTGGTTCATTGATTTACCTTTCTTTCAAGGGAAGGAGTTGGACTCGTTATCTTGTCATTTCCGTTTTAGTTTGCATTTAGTTTAAAATATATCATTTTATTTTGTTTTGTCTGTTTTGTTTTTGTTTTTTTTTTTGATGAAAAACCCTTACCCGGATTCTTAAATACTAACAACTAGACAAGAAACTAGCCGATTGATATATTTGGCTAATTACACCCTATAAAATGATTCTATCTTTTTCAATATCTATGTAATTCTTTCCAATTGTTTTTAACTGTTGCATGTTTAGTTCAAAATAAGTTTTCTCAGATGCCTCACCTGCAACGTATACCACTACAGCACCATATTCTTGACTGTTCTTACAGAAATACACACCCGCTTGAGTAGTGGTCAAGTTTTGTAATCGCAGGTTTTTTTCAGAACCAACGATCTGGCCGTTGAAGCTGTACCACTGTGGGTCACCGTAAGAATCATTAAGATTGCATTCGAATTGTATAGTCTCACCAAATTGCATGATATTTACCCGGCGAAACTTGAACTCAAGATCGCGTTCTGCAAACGGAAAGTGTAATAGGTTATGTAGAAAGAAGGCCACAGAATGCGACGAAGCAGCCGAAAGGGATGAATAAGATAACAAAGCTTAAGCAAAGAGTACAATACTGTCGTCATATAAAACAGATAACAAAACGAGGGAAGCAAAAGCAAAAACACCAGAATAAAAGCAAGGAATACAAAATATGCTCTCAGAGTAGCTGCGAGTTCGAGATCACTCTGAAGTATAACTAACCAGAGTTTCCAACGTCTGAGGCGATCTCACGATTCCTCATTATTATCCAACTAAAATCCGTAGAGTACAAATAACACCATAGACAAGTACTAATATCAAGCGGTATTTGTACTCCAGAGAACCGGTTAGACAGGTTTTTCTCGCATCGCGCAAGCGAAGAATTGGATTGAAGTTACGAAAAAAAATGGCGGACAATTTGAATCGTATTTCTGACCATGAAGAGTCGGAATGGCCGGAAAATATAGATCCAAGTTTATTAGATGAATCGAACGAAGAAAAAAGCTAGACGACCAAGAAATTTTATTGAAGAAAATAGAAACAGCAACACGACAATGCGCCAATTTCGTTCCGCTTCGCATACTTTTGTCGCGCACTCTCCGTATATAATTACTTCGGCACATGGCATTATGAGAAATATTGTAGCCAGCGCTGCAATATTTCTCATAATGCCATATGCCTCAGTAATTATCCATTAAATAAATATCCCCGAAATTCGCCCGCACTGAAATAACAATTTGGCCAGTTGGATAATAAATAACTTATTCGACGTTTTGTTGTGTAGAATCGCTGAGTATTTTTGCTCGTTGTTTGTATTTTGACTCTCCCTACGGGCTCGTCAAAATACGACACAACTCGTAAAAATATTCAGCGATACTACACAACAAAACGTCTAATAAGATATATGTATTGCACTGTAATGTACATATGTTCATGCATAACTTTTAGCGCGCTCCTTCTATGACATGGTGGATTTTTAATTTTTCAATCGATGGAGAAGCTTACCAGGTAAGATCATCTTTTGCTTTGAATGGAGCACGGTGACCTACATATTTATTGCATGGCCTTGACGTAAACATTTTTCCCCTCTAGGGTAAAAAAATTAAAAGAAAATTGTTCGGAAGCGAAAAAAGATAAAACTTACAGCGAACACAAACACTTAAGAATGACCCGATATCGTACTTTTCATGATCGCTAAGGATCAACTGGAGAGAGCTGATATCATATCAAATAGTCTTTATATAAGCGATATAAGGATATGTTTAATTCTAAATTACCTGGATCACAAGTCAAACTTGCCTCGGCATCTGGATTGCATTTGTAATTCGTAGTGAAATTGAATTTGCAGTAACTTAGTGAAGTCTCGGGACCGGAGCAGTCAATATGATCAACACACTCTTTACTGACATTGGGACGACTGATGTTCGTGGAAAAGGGAGCTACGGCTCTCTTAAATCCGATTTGACGACAGACTAGCTGAGCCGCGATCATATTCCAACGAATCCCTGATAGCGGTTTTAGAATTCCTCTGTGCAAAAACTTGACTTTTCCTGAGTGGATTCCCTCAAGTGACACATTTACTGCCAGAAAAGGAGGATTAATTAATTATAAATCACATACTTATTTATCGCCTAATTTATTCGTTAACTCATTAATTAATCCATGATCCATACAATCATTTATGCAGTCACTGACTCACTCATCCACTCACTCACTTATCCACTCACTCAGTCACCAATTCAATCACTCATTCATTATGCATTCAATTATGTCATCAGCCAGCCCACCTGTCTACAAACAACCAAAAATCAACGAACCAACTGGATAACCGTGCCCATGCAGTGCTTCAACTCACCTTCTCATGAAAGATTATATGGGTTATGATTTAACAATCTACTATGAAAACAGTACATTTCTTGCCGTCAACGGTTAGAGATATTACCTCTATGCTTTTATCAAAATTTTTCCTGTATCTGTTTACTTGTACCTTTACATACAGTGGTAACTTCGTGTGTATCGCTGCAATTGATAGAAATGATGCTTTTCAGAACACCACAAGTTGTGTTGCCATAACTGTGCGTTTGGATCATATTGCAATTTTTTTCATTCTCAGCAGACTCAAAGCCCTGTATCTGGCAAAGGTTATCAGCAATGCCTACTGAATGGCAGACGGACGTCCACTTCTTGCCATCACTAACTTCAAGCTTCAGTTTGGCCGCATAAGAGGGAATATGAGAAAGACGTATTCTATAAGCTGCAGTAACATGAAAAAAGATTTTAAAAAATTCAATTTAAAACCGTCACCTCGAATTCAATGTCGATAACGCCAACAGGCAAAATCCACAAAGAAAAGTAACCACTTACAAGAACTCTAGATAGAAACATGAACTGATTAACGAAACGAAATGCAACGCTTTATACTGTTTTCACAGAAAATAATAAAGCAAACAGCAAAAAAAAGGTAACTGGACAATACATAATTACGTAATAGGTCACCGATTAGCACAAAAATAAAAGAAAAGAATCAAAACTAAATTGCTAAAAATCAACAGAAAACCAATCCCAGACAAGGAACACTATAATAAGTATTCACACTGAAAAATATGTTTAAAAAAGCTAACAAAAACATTGAACTTAGCCTTTTTGTTTGTTTGTTAAGTTTTTGATTTGCTATATTTCTGTTGTTGTTGCTCTTTTTATTGTTATTCTTATAAAAGCTTCGTTTGTCTGAACAATATAACTTTAGCTGTGAATAAGGAGCAAGAGTCATCAATAGTGCAGTGCATTATACCTGTACACTTTGTATGTGATGAACACTCCCTAATCTCCATATTTTGGTCACCAACGCAACCCTTCGAACAATTCCTTGTTTGAAATTTAACGCCGCACCGACCAAAGCACTTGCTCCAACTCGATGACTCAAGCGATGGTGAACCCAACTCAGACGATGAATCACCTGTAAGAAAATGATGTCGACGAGAGTGAACACAAATCTGGAACAGATATGGATCAAACCTGGAACAATGTTAGACTATTACGTAGCGAGACAGATATGTGATTTTCCATCCACACTTTGTTGCTTACTATACGCAAGGAAAAAAGTAAACAAATAAATATGTTCCACTCTTAAATGATTTTTTTTTTTTTCAGTTACAAGTCCTAGGGGACATCACAATGTGGAGAGCATCTCAATAAAAATCATTAACTCGCAGATGACCCTCCACCTCATCGTAGTCTACCTATTGACCCAAACGCAAATTGTAGTGTGCACTCAACTAAAAGACTGTAACCCATAATACTGTGGGCCTTTGAAAACAGTTATAAGGTTCAAGAGATTACTTTCAAAAATAGGAAGTTTCTCTCGCCTTGCCAACGAGTCCCGTATTACAAACATTAGATATATTTGGAATGGGTTGATGTCATTTTATCTACGTGCTTGGTGAATGCACTCTTTGCACATTTTATTCAAACAATCGTTGTTATTATGACTTGAAACAATCGCATGACCCGGTCGGTGGTCTAAACTAACATTTG